GTATGCTATACGAAGTTATTACGATATATATATATTAATAGCAGAAAAGTACGTCGGTATACGTCAAAGCTATTAAAACTGAATAACATCTGTTGTGCCTAAAGGTTGTCAAAAAAATAGTGTTTACATTATTAAGGGCCACTTTTTCCAACATCGGTTAACGTTAACCGACGATTTCACTTTGTTAATAGAATTGCTAACATGAATGAAATATGGTCATCAAAAAGGAAAGATTTAAAATTTTCGTCACTTTTAATGAAGATATTTTATTCTTTATGTTAGCAATTCTATTAACAAATTGAAATCGACGGTTAACGTTAACCGACGTTGGAAAAAGTGGCCCTAAATAAAGATGAAACAAAAAACACGCAAATTTTTAGATTTGTTATAAAAATCGCTACAAACTTTCGGAATAGTCAAATATTTTTGAATTATTCAAACAATTAAGGCAACAAAGAGCTTTGAGTTTTAAATGTAAATATTAGTCGATCTGTAATATTAATTCATGTTTAAAGATTCGAACAGTTCAAACATTAAAGAAAATTGGAGTAAAAATAGTATACATTACGAATAGAAAATAAACAGTTTTTTTTTGCCTTTCTTTACGTGGATGTCAAACTTTCGGATTTGAAATTAGTTCGAACATATTTTCGATAAGCTAGAAAGACTAAAATTTATTTAATCATGCTTGAACTGCTCGACTATTTAAAATTTCCTAGCATTGCTAAAAATATATTAATAATTGTAAAGCGTAACCTCTTTAATCAAACATCGTTTTTTTGGCTCCAATAATGCTCTTGTTCCAGAGCTTCCTTCAGTGAAAAGATGTAATCTAAGTCCTCGAGTGCGCATCTTGTCTCGAATAATATCAGCTTTTTCCAAGTACAAGTTATTATGATAACAAACCTATTTAAAAAAAAATATATATATTAAAAATATATCAATACGTTCAGTTTATTTTAAAGAACGACAAAGAATCCTCCAAGTTTAGAAGCATAATTACAAGTGGCAAAGGTGGCGGTGGTGTTTTTGATCCATGTTCTTCGCCGCTACCACCGGCTGGCATGTTTCCAATGTAAATCGCTGTTTTCGCGACTAAAGGAGAAGTCCCGTTTGGAAATTGCAATGAGCCTAATCCATGAGCGTATCCAGGTTGGAATTTTGAATCGATTGGAAAGTAAAATGACAATCCTCGAAAATTTAGTACAAATACCTACAATATATTATTATAATTATATTTTACATATACCGCACATATCACATACACTTATAAATAATAATTATTAAATTACTACTATTAATCATTAATCTACATATTAGTGATTTTAAATTTTAAACATAACTGTATACCTGCTTTTCACTGTCATAAACACCAGGATGAGTTGCGCCAAATGAATGTTCTATCTGTTCGATAGAAGGTAATACCTCCGGCGAATTGAACGGCAAGCCACAATATTTCAATTTTACTAATTTCATATTGTAAATTTCAATTATCTTCAGCCTTTGTACAACAGGATCGAATATAAGCCGAATACCATCGTGTGGTAAATTTATAACTAGATCCACATCCAATGGATTCTGCAAACATAAATGTTTAATATATTATTTTAAAGAAATAAAAATGTATTATTTCAACAAAGATGATGGCAAAAAAGATTCAATGATTCAAAAAAGGTATAGCAATTGCACACCATCAAAATTTTAAGAAAATCAAAGAAAAACATGTCAAAAATAACAACTTTGTTACTAATAACCAGATATTATATATACCAATATATAACATTGTAAATCTGGTTATTAGTAACAAAGTTGTTGTTTTTGACATGTTTTTCTTTGATTTTCTTAAAATTTTGATGGTGTGCAATTGCTATACCTTTTTTGACATCCATTGGATGTGTGATATTGTTTATATATATATATACAAACAATATATAAAATTTTCTTTAATAAATATTATGCTATCTTGAACTACTGACCATAAATCATTTTCATGTGATACACTAATGTAATCACTCACACGACTATATAGTCTATTTTAGTATATTCACAATAAATATTATCCAAAAATCCTGGAAAAGCATGAACGAACTAAACAAAACATCTGTCAAAAGTATGTATTAGGATAACATTTTAATCATAAATCTCAAGCATAATATTTACTTTTTGAACCAATTTAGAAAAGTTGTAAGAAAATAAAATTAAATAAATTTTGAAACAAAAAAATTAGTGTTTTAAAATAGAATAAACAAAACTGCAAAAACAAATTTTTTTGGAATAGTTAGCAGTTACTAACATTTAAAAATATGATAAGATTAGCTATTTTTAACATATTTTAAAATTTTTGCAGAACATTGAGTTAATATATATTGGATTGTGTAATAATTTCAGATTTTTTCAATAAATCTATTTTTTTGTCAGGTAAAGCATAATTTGGTTAACACATAAATTAAATATTTGTTTGTCAAAGTTGTTTTAAAGTTTTGCCCATATTACAATTTTTTAAGCATGCTGTATAAAAAATAACATCACTTCTCTATTAGAAAATTCAAAATTACTTATTACACAAACCAATACTTTTAGAGACTTCAGATTCAGCATATAAAAACTATGAAAAGTTGCTCTTTTTTCCTAAACAACAAACCATGCAGTGTAATTAAAAATTTATATCTATTATAAATATGTATAGATTTGTATATTAAGTGCACTTACACTGTCGCTATAAAGTACTTGTACTCCTCTTATAACGCCAACTTGGGATTGTATTATCGATACCGATTGAGAAAAATGCATACCTGCAATATAAGTTTTTGATTAAAAATTTTGATAATTTTTAAATAAACCAACATTTGTATGAATAAACAAGCAAATAACAATAAATATTAATAATAATTTAGATTTTTTTCAATGTTTGTTTACTCTAAAGCAAATAACATAAAAAAGTATACTTAAATAGTATGATGTAAAAAATATAAATAAGACAATTTACAAGCATGTAATATTTGCTATAAAATATAGTCCATATAAATTCACAAATCAACTTTGTGAGAATATAAGTAATTTATTTTGTTGTGAATTTATTGTGAACTATTTACTTACAATTTTAATGCTTATAAACTATAATTGTTTATAAACTATTTGTAATATTTATTCTTCAAGGATCTTCGAATAATAATGATAAGCATACAAGAAAATATAAACAAATTAAATAAATATTACAGGTTAATTTGTACGTATAATTTAGTTGATTAATAGAACAAATTGTTTGTGTTTCTTTTAATTTTAAACGTTGATTTGAAGACTATGTTAACTGAACATTCTATTTTTATATGTTTATTGCAATGTATATATTTTTTTTACTTATATATGCTTGCTATATAAATGGAAAAAGTATGGAAACTATGGAAGTATAAAAAAAAACACGTTAAAGGATTACTGTATCAAGCACTATGTTTAAATTGATAAATAGAACGATATAAAACTGGACGAATCATACTACTATATATTACTAATAAAACAAAGTTGTATGTATTAACAAACTGCGATCGAATATACGATCGCTCATACTTTATCAACTCATACGATTTAATTCGATGAAACGAAATTTGACAGAGAAACATTGTGCGAGTTATGCAAATCATAATAATACACTACTTTTGTTCACGCTTGCATTTCGTCACCTACCTAAAATAAATTCCCATTGCTCGCATCCGAGAGATCTTTCTGGCACCACCTCGAGTTCCAGCATTCTACTTGATTTATTTATTTGCTTTATTTAAACAGTGAAACGAACAAATATACGACGCGCGAAGCGATACAAATTACCATCAAAACTGCGTCGTTCCTTTGTCTGCTAACGTATCGCTCAATTATCAATCACTAGATAGCCATATTGTAGTCGCATCCCAAACAACCTCTTTCACTATTTCGCGACTTCTATATCTTCTATAATTTCTATGGTTGGTAAACTGTCACCGAACAGCTGATACATATCATGAAATATGAGACACGAAGAGAAACTTTTTATAAAGCAGTAATGATGGCTGCATTCCGATATTTACTTTCTGTATTGGAATGGTATAGTGTACGTAATGTGGACTATAGATTTTAGTACTGGCAGCATTGATAGTGAATATCGTACTAAACTATATATATATTGGAATGGGCACTGAATTGATTGGCTGCGTTCCAAAAAGTGCATATGCGCGCATGTATCTACAGTATACGTAACGTTCCTGACGTATACTGTATACATGCGCGCATATGCGCTTTACGAACGTATGGAACGCAACCTTTGGGCCACCGCACATGTACGTCCATAACGCGTTACGTTGCGCTAAGTACTGACCGTAAACGTAGAGTCCGTAATTAACATTAAACTTTATTCAACGCACAGAGAAAATCGTAACGTAAACGTGTATAAAGCCCGCGGCACACGGTACTATTTTCTCTGCTGAATTGCTAATTAGATGTGCGTACTTACCATAGATATATTACAGCGCTCGGAATTAGTTGCACATTTCGGGCCGATTTCCGAGACGACGCCTCCTGTTCCCCCACTACCGCCCGGCCGCTAACGGCCGAGCCGCCGATAGCTCTGGCTCAGGAGCGTTTTATATTAGAAATAGGCTGGATTGTTTAGGCATCTTTCAGGAAAGCGTAACAATTTCTTCACTACATAAATA